CACACCCCCTGACATCACCGGAAGTGTGTCATAAGGCCACACCCCCTGACATCACCAGAAGTGTGTCTTAAGGCCACACACCCCGCCCCCAACGGTCCCGGCCACCGCCGCCGGAGGGGCCCGGCAGTGGACCTGCAAGGCCGGTGGGAGTGCAAGGAAGCCCCGCAAAGGCCCTCCCTGGCCCCAGGCAGGCAGGGGTAGGGAGAGGCAGGGGGGCGGTGGACCTGCAAGGCCGGCGGGAGTGCAAGGAAGCCCCGCAAAGGCCCTCCCTGGCCCCAGGCAGGCAGGGGTAGGGAGAGGCAGGGAGGAAGCAACTTACCCTCCCTCTTCTCCTGCCTCCTCCTGGCTGAATGAGGGCCGGAAGCGGGGCGGCCGGAGGCAGGGGGCGGGGCTTCGTCATGTGCCCCGCCCCCCGTACCTCACCCAGGGGAACTGTGATCCCCCGCGATCCCCCCCGAAATGACCTCTGGGCTTATTATCGGAATAGACAGCAGTGCAAGAAGCGAGGATACTGCCTACTTGGGGGGGAGCTGCTATTCTGACAACCTGTTCCCTTGTCTTTACCGCTGCAGCAATATAACCAACTGGAAACCCATCTGTTCGGCGCCTTCTTGGCCTTTGTGGTGGGTATCCTTTATTTCTGGATCCAAGCAGTTCTGACCTATCGGGTAAAGCTGAGGCACGGAGGATCGTGGATTGGGCCTCTCAGGTTCTGTCTCAGTGCTTGTGGCACTGCTCTGCTCGTCGCCAGTATCCTGAACTCAGCGTGAAGACAGGGGGGAGGTGATGGGAGGCCTGCATACTTAGGTGATGGGAGTTTGGGGCTAGTTGGGGGGCTGGGAGGACAGGTTTTGCTAGGGTTGCCAAACTCCAGGACTTGCAGTCGAACTCCAGACAACAGAAATCAATTCCCCTGGGGAGAACAGGTGCCTTAGAGGGTAGGCTCTGTGACGCTACACCCTGCCCTCCTCAGAGCTGGCTGCCCTGGCTCTTGGTCGCTGCTCCAAGTTCTTGTTTAGGAACACTGTGAGCCTGGAGAGACTGAGGGTGTATTTCAGATCCTGGGCTGAACTAAGAAAACATTTCATGTCCTAAGGACCAATATTAAGCATTTAAAGGGCTGGGATCTTCCCCCCTTTGCTGTTTTAGATTGACACACAGTGGTTCCAGTCCTTGACTCTTCCGCCCCAGCATGTGTGCTTTTCAGTCTGGAACTGGACTCCGAGTCAGCCTACTGCGAATGGGCCCTGGCCATGGATCTGTTCCTGCTCTTCGGCCTGTTCGCCGTGGATTTCTGGCACGTGGGCTCTTGCTCAGTCCACGTGCAGTACTGCATGGCGAATCAAGAAACCCTGAACATTCAGGCATCAACTCAGACTCTATCACTTTGATAACACCATGGAGAGAAAGGGACGCCGTGAACCTATCTGCTTGGATGGATTTCCACACCAACTTTGCTGGTGGGACTGATTATTCCCTGCCCTGTCCTTTCTTTGGCAGGCAAAGTACTTCTTGGGGGGCACGGGACCCTCGGTGGACAGCCTAGATATGTCCCTCTGCCTGTTTGGAGAGTCTCCTTGGCTGTGACTCCTCCTGTCAGACCAAATCTCCTCTGCACCTGAACAGAACTATGGATTTCCTTTATAAAATCCATTGCTTCTCCCAAACGGATCCACCAGCCACTTTTTCTACTTGTCTTCTGAAAAATAATATTTTTAAAGTGTCTGTTTTATTTTTGCCGTTAGCATCTTCCTATTTCTGGTAGCAAAACCTGTTTTTATCTCATCGATCCCCATCCCACTTTATGAAATACAGGGCAGTGGAAGGATCCCTGTTATCGGTCATCTCTCTCTGTGTGTGTTGCCCTGTGATGTATCCTTCCACCAATGGTGCCTGCTCTTGTTTTTCTACCTCATGGATGGCTCTAGAAAGAACCCTTTGCAGTGTAGATGGATATAAAAAGTCGCTATTTCTCCATCTACTCCCTCCATAACATAAGGTGGGAGGAAGAGATTCCAGTGAGGCAGAGTATTTCCCCACAAGCCAGGTTGGGCTGAATGGAAGTTGGCGCCATGTTACCGTAACTGTGGTCTGACTGTACTCTTATGCCAGTTAAACAGTGGCTGGTGCTCTCTATACACAGACAGATGCACTCCAAGGGTGGCTCATTGACACCATTCTGTGTGGGGAAGGACAATAATGTTGTGTCATAAAGCCCAAGCCTAAAAAAACCTATTTTTTTTCTCTTGTGCACATATTGCTGTATGGGGGCACCTCCAAGTACTTGCCTGTCATAAATTGTAGTGCCAACCAAGACCTTGTGTCCCTCCTCTTGTGTGAGAAAGCTAGTGCTGTCCTTGTTTTTCCTGTCCTGCAACGAACAGGGGTGGGTAGGGGTTAGAGGGAAACTGGCCATCCTATGTGAGATGAATAATGAATTCCAAGACTCTCCTCTTACAGTTTCCCATTTTGGCTCTGCTCAAACCGAATTCTTCCACAAAGGGAAGAATAGCCCCTTCAGATTTTAGTTTTCTTGCTATAGATTCTTACTGCCCAATCTCTCCTTTTTTTGTGGGAGGAGGATTAATAAAGTAAAAATCCTGGCTTCTCACCATCTGCTAATTCTGTCCACAGAAGAGTGTGTTTTGTTGCCACAAAGTTGGTGTGGTGAGAATGATATGACAGCAGTTTAGCTTCTGGTGCAGTACTTCTCCAGTGTTTGTTGACATGTGTTTTGTAGCGAGTGGGAAGATGGAGGGCCTGTGTCTTTCAGAAAGCGTAGGTGACGGGCAGCCTGAAATCAGTTGGCAGCTGTTGGGGGGGGGGGGAGAATTCCAGGAAGGACTGTAGTATTTGGGACAAGCAGAGAAAAGATTTCCAGCTAGGATGTAGTGGAGGAGTAAAGGCAAGTTGATTCTGACTCCTCAGAGAGGAGTATGGCAGGTTTGCTGGTGACTGCACAGTTCACAAGGTAACAGCCAACAGGGAATTAACCAGGACAGGTCCCGTTCCAAGGGTACTGAGCCTGTACAAAATGATAGTGGTCTCTTATACCAAAAGTGCTCTCATATACTTTCTCCCTCTTATATGCAGACAGAAGTGCTACTTATCGCTCCAGCTCATTCTCTCATGGGCGTGCACCCACCAGCTCCCCTTCTGCCATGCTTACCACTGTCTGCCCACAACTCACACTTACCACTCTCTGCCCACAGAGCACTCAGGCTGTGTGTGAATGGCCCAATCAACACCTCCTATCTTGCATGTATGTAAACATGCACAGACTACACCCTCACCCCACCCTTTTGCTGTGTGCACGCTCACACATAGCTCCTTCTATCCGTCCCACTTCATGCGTGGGAATGTCTTCCCTGTGGTTTATCCTATTCCTTCTCAGAGGGGGGGGGGGAGTGTCAAGTGACATTTGGACAGAAAGGAACTAGTGTTCACTCTGCTCTGTGGGTCCTCTATCTGGATCTTAGAAGAGCAGTATGGGATGAAGCCACGAGCCAGAGTTCCCTTGCTGTAACACAAACATTGGGCTTCACACCCTCCCTTGTATGCATACATACGTTGAAGACCACCTACCCGCATTTTGCATATGCCGATAGCATTTCTTTTCCTCTCACAAGCCTGCAGCCGCAAAGCTCGGACCCCTGCACCCCTCCATCCAGTTGTCCATTTGCAAAACACTTCCCATGTGTTCTTTTTCACACAGCGTGCCCAACTCCTACACTCATCAACCCACAGGGCACGGAACACCCATTCAGCTACACGCAATATTCACACGGCAAAGTCTTTGTTACACACGCATCAATATATACATACGCCTGTCAGATCTGCGCAGTGTCCACACACTCACTAAGGATGCTAGCTCAGTAAGGGCGCTTGGGGGGAGACCCCCCCAGGAAGGGGTTTTGGATTGACACTCGAGCCTTCACTCTTAGGGGCAAAGGCCGCCTAAGACAGGACCAGCCTCAAATTGTTGTATGTGTGGAGCCATCGCACAGATCTGGACGGCGGGGGGGGGGGGGTGGCCCTGACAGCACAGCTCATTAGCACATTAGGCCACACCCCCATGTTACCAGAAGTGTGGTTATCCAGCCACACCCACCTTTTGCTTGTTATTCTGTTTACCTTGTTTGTTGTCAAAACCCAGGGCTTTTTTTGTAGCAGGAACTCCTTTGCATGTTAGGCCACACACCCCTAATGTAGCCAATCCTAATGAGTTTCTGCTGTTGGGTGTGGCCTATTATGCTAATGAGTTCCTGCTGGGTGTGGCCAACTCAGGAGCCAGCCGGAACTCCGTTCCTGTGCGTTCCTGCCCCAAAATAGCCCTGGATCTGGAGCCATCTCATAGATGAGCCGTGCTTCAATGCTTGCCTGGATAAACCGGAACCCTCACTATGAATTGAAAATGGTGGTTCCCACTTGCTGGCTGAGAAGTAGCACCTCCTGAACATTGACTGGAAATGACACGGGGTGGATCTTGGCAGCTAGGGAACATTTCAGTGATTGATTGTATTTTTTTTTTCTGAGCAATAATTAGACCCCAGAGAGGACATGAAATAGGAAGGGTTGGACAGTTGCGGGGAGGGAGGGGAGAGAGACAAGGGCATATGTGTGATAAGATTGGATTCACAAAAAGGAGAGAGAGGACAGATTGACACAGGGCCAGAAGATGGGATGGGACGGGGATGGGGGGGGCTACATACAATTATCTCCTATTCATGTGCACGCCCGCATGCGCCATCATCCACATCCAACAGTATCACTCCCACCAGGGAGAGGAGAGTCACCCAGAGCCATAGAGGAAAGGAGGTTGGAGGGAAAGGAGAAGCAGGATTGCTTTCGTAGATTTCCACCACCGCCCATATCCCCCAACTGCAGTATCAAGACCTCGAGTCCACCAGAGCTGCCAGCCCTTTAGACAGGGATTCTTCTCTTGCCTACCCCCACATTCAAAAGAATACATGTAAGATGCTCGATTGGAACAGGTACGCTGCTATCATCCCATCTTGACACATTGCCTGGCTTCCTGGGATTTTATACCCCTAGTCTCCCCCCCCCCCCCCCCCCCCGTCTCATTCTTGGTACAGGTCACCAGCCAAGGCCACCCAAGACCCTGTGACTCCAGTCCATCTTCTTCTGCGAATGCCGCCCATGGGTTCAAAAGGAATTCTGCATCCAGATCTGTGGTAATCATATTCCAGGTGGTGTCCGCGTTTAGACCGTGAGGGCTAGGTCGGGTAACACTGACGCTCCTGTCTTCCATCTGAGACACAGCACCTTTGAAAACCCAGCGGAATGGTCGCCCCCTCCTGCCTCCCGTCAGAACGCCTTGCACAGATGGATGCAGAGTGTTAGGGGAAAGGGAGTGGGGGGGCTTGGGGGGACCGGGAGAGATGAGTCATGTTTACCCACTCAAGAGTTCTGACAGGGCTGCTAAAATTACACGAAACAGAGCCAGTTCGGAGAAGAGTTTAAAACCAGCAGGTAAATAACATCCTTTGGAATTTTGCAAAGCAGTTGATAAGAATTTTAAAAATGCCAAAGATTACTTAATCTTTGGGGGTGGGTCATTGGGGCAGGAACAGAATAGGATATTATTTTACTGAAATGCGTCTTATCTTCTTTTAAAAACAAATTAGTGGTTAAATGATTTGACAAGATGTCCTTAGTAAAATAATAATTTACCTATTAAAAATGTGAGAGAAAGCAATTTAAACCTATTTCTGCTTGTTTTGCTTACCCTGTGCGTGATATTCTAACTTTTGGAAGCTGAAGAAGGGCTGTTTAAAGCTAACAAGATCATGCGACCTATCTTTAAAAAAAAAAAATGAAAAGAAAATTCTCTAAAGTGGAGTGATGTAATTTTAATAAGCAAATATCTGATGGGTAAAAGGTAAAGGTTCCCTTGCTCGAAAGCCAGTCGAATCTGACTCTAGGGTCGCGGTGCTCATCTCCGTTTCAAAGCCGAAGAGCCAGCGCTGTCCGAAGACGTTTCCGTGGTCATGTGGCCGGCATGACTAAACACCAAGGCGCACGGAACGCTGTTACCTTCCCACTAAAGTTGTACTTATTCATCTACTTGCAATTTCTTGCTTTCGAACTGCTAAGAATTACCCCCTCCCCAACACACACACACGGTATCTGTTCTCACTTTCCTTCCCTGTACCACAACACTTGCATAGGAATCATTAAGATCTTTCAGCAACCATTTTCAAACCATTTCATTTGGGATAGCCATCAATTGTTAACTACATTTTAACAAAATGCCAACCTACTACATTCCAGTGTCTTCCCTGTTCTACTCCTGCCTTTCTGCAGACCTGATTTGTGGCAGTTTTTTAAAAACATAAAAAGCAATTGCAGCTCCAGGCTGCCTACTGTG